CACTGATGTTGTTCTCGATGGTTTTTTTCGTGTCGCTTCTCACGAAGCTCCCACGTCTTTTTTGCTAGGACATGATACCGCGAATTGTCTGGTGTGGAGGAGTAGTGACGCATCAGCCGATTTGCAGAAACTCCATTCGCACACATTCAACTGGCCCCAGGGGTCTGAATGGAAACTGAATGAATAGGATGCTTGGCAGCTAAATAAAATACGAACTGCACCCTCACCATCATGGTCCTGGTCCTTACCATGTGTGAGTGAATGGATCTACAGTTGCAGTGGCACGCCACTTTCTCCGGTCACAAAGGCATGAAAACGGAGCTGAAGGGTAATGATACCTAAGTGTCGTGTTCATGCTTCCCGGGTATCACTACACTCCAGCCCCGTTCCCGTGCATTGTTGAGCGGAGAAAATGACGCGCTAATGCAACCGCGGACCCCGTTCACCTTACATGTGGAGGTGAGTGTGCAGTTTGTCTTGGTCTAATCTCTGTGGTCCGATCTCTTTCATGACGACGAGCAAGAATGGTAACGAATTTTTGGCACTCTTACCCTTACTGCCCCAACCATCCAGAATTGAGCCAGTTTTTGACCGACTTTTTTCTCCGTGGACAGATTTGGCTCAAATGTTGTCTCCTGGGGTATTTTGACCTCCTGAATACGAATATGACATTCGCTCAGCTCGAAACTTCCTGGCACCAGAATGTTTCCGCGGATGTGATATTCGTGTTTAGGAGGTCAGACTACCCCTGAAAACAAGTTTTCAGCGAATTTGGTGATTTAAGGTATTTTGGCGCCGGCGCCTGTGGCGCGGGCGCCAGGAGGTTTCGTGCCTAGCGGATGTGATATTCATGTTCAGGAGGTCAAACTACCCCAGGGAACAAATTTTCAGCCAATTCTGCCAACGAAAAAGTCGGTCGAAAACTGACCTGTTTTCGGAAGACTGGGGCAGTAAAGGCTAAAAAGTGCCAAATTTTTTTGTAATGGGTGAGCAGGGTTGATAATGGCGCTTTTAGAATCCACATGGGGCCTTTGTTACGAATTTGCGGGAACACGCTCGTAATTCAGTTTAGTATACGCTTTCTGATCAGAAGCCGGGTTTTGTACAGTTATAAGACGACTAACTGCTCACATCTGTAGAAGTTCCACTTCCGTTGTGACTAGATAGGTGTGCTTCACTTCTTAATCCTGTTTTGTTGGTTTTCGAACAGCTAACGACACCATGGGGCGAACAGGTTTTCTTTTACACCAAACAGCCTGCTATCTCACCTATCTATGTTACATCAGAATGAACGGGGTCTAGCTATGTAGGGCACCGCATCATCAAGGATCCCTCGAAAAAAAAAACTTCTCTCGCAATTCGTTTGAATAACGTCAAAAAACTGATGCCATAATCATGAAAGTGAAATACGAATCGAATCTGCCGTGCAGTACAACATGGGTTGACTGCGAGAAGTCCTGAATGTTCACTTCGAGTAGCTATTTTGTCCCTGTTCTGTTATGTGCTTGGAGTGTACGAGCTGAGGAAGTGAGATGGGCAAGGGGGGGGCACTACGTCCGCACTTCTACGAGATAAGGGAATGACGATCGTCCGTCCCTTCCGCGTATTTAGTATAGCTTATGGTCAGGAATTAACTATTGAAGGGTGCAGAAAGCGAAGTCGTCATCGTCACGGGATTCACCCTCCCCATACCCCCGTGACGATAGGCTGTTTAACCCTCAGTTTTGGTTGCTGGCTCATATTTATAAGTGCCTAGATCAGCAAATCCGCAGATAAAGGCTTGTATTAGAAGGACTATTCAACATACCTGACTTTACGAATATGACGACCATTCTTGGCGCTGACGCTAATGGAGGACACCGCGATAATCTTCTAGGCTCAGCCTTTGCAGAGCGCAGATAATCGTAGTGCCCTCCATTAGCGTCAGTACCAAGAATGAGTGTCATTTTCGTGACCAGGATATTAAATAACCCCTGTCAAGTTTTCAGCAAACGGCATCAGCCCCCCCCCCTCCCCATCATCCAACTGCAGTAGCACCAACGCGCCAACGGGACACGCACCCATGGTTGGAATGTGGCGGGTTCCAACAGGTATTCGTTTTCGAACTAGTTTAGATAGAACGGTCATTCTAACACCAGACCAGCTGACTCCTTTAGTTCACTATGAATCCAACATGTTGAAAGAAAATTGCATCATTTTGGTGGTAGCAGAATGCATGCCTCCTACCAAAGTTATAGATAAACCTTCAGTACTTAATCCTTTCGTGCCTAATGTTGCTTCAACAAGCTTTTCTGGTCAATTATGTGATCAAGTGTTTCTAAGAGTGCAAGTGAGGAACCCTGCAAAGCTAGCCGAGGCGAGCATACGCCGGAACCTACACCCCGTGCCCTCCCACTCTCGCCCCCTTCCAAGTTCCTGTGTTCCATAGTTCAGCGGAAACTTTATAGGAGTATTTGTTCATTCGTCCGGCCTTTGGAGTCGTCTGCGGAAGAATTACTTCGAGTCATCGCTAAGTAGTCTGGCTCCTCTCGAAGCTTACAATATTTAAACAACTGTAGGCTTCGAGAGGAGCCAGTCTGCAGGTGTGCGTCAGTGCTGCAGTAGCCTGCAGTTTTGAGGAATATAGTTTGCGGAAAGTTGGAGCGCGCAAGGTGGCTCCCCTTTCCCATGCTCCTTTCTGACACTGGGATTATAAGGGCAAAGCAGGCGCTCATGCAGAACTCCGGAATGACCCTTCCCAGGGCATATATTGCCCACTTGTATCGTTCTCTGAGGGTCATAACACCCTGCAATACTTGACTTGCGTTTATACCTGTACCTTTATTACTACACAATTCCTTTCTGACGCTGATAATTTCGGGGCAGGTGCTCTAAAAGATTGCTTATGAAGAAACGGGGTTCACGTCATCTGTGTAGGGGCACAGCTCTTTAAACGAGTCCACGGAAATACTCTGCCCTTGAGGGATAGGGTAGAGGTCCCTTAGCCGGTGTCGGAGCCCAGTCCTAACAAAGAAGTCCTTCAAGTCCCCCCCCTCCCCCCTCCCTACTGTTGCACTGTTGACGCCGACTTCCTTACCAGCCTACGACAAATTTGTGTGGCCCTATTCAGCTATTACTGCCCCATTCTTCCGAAAACGAGCGAGTTTTTTACCGACTTTTTCTTTGGGTCAGACTTGGCTGAAAATTCGGTTCCAGAGGTAGTTTGGCCTCCTAAACACGAACATCACATCCCTTTGGCCTGAAACTGCGCTCGCGCTGGAGGCTATGTCGTTAAGAACCCCAACTCACTGAAATTGCTAAAAACTTGTCCCCAGGAGCAGTTTGACCTCCTGAACACAAGGAACTGCCGGTCGACCCTCAAACTGCCTGGTGCACGCGCCACAGGCGCCGGCTCCAAGGTCACCGATCCGCTGAAAACTTGTATAGAGGGGTTATTTGGCACCTGATTACGAATATGACTTCTTGGCGCTGACGCTAATGGAGGACACCACGATCATGAGCGCTCTGCTAAGGCTAAGCCTAGCCTGAAAGGAATCACTATTACCAGGCTCAATCTTAGCAGAGCACTAAATGGCGCTGGTGTCAAAAAATGAATGCTATATTCGTGATCGGGGTATCGAACAATCTTACAGTGCAAATTTTTATCGATATTGATGAGAAGTATGTGGCGGCAGATGGCGCCAGGGCTAAGAATGAATGCCATGTTCGTAATCAGCGAACCGAAAACACCAGAATGCAAGCTTACACCGATTCGCATGAGAAAAGCGGTGGCACCAAATCGCGCCAGTCAGAAACGACTACAATACTCGTGATGGAGACATCGGATTAATCTGATGGCAAATATTTACCAAGAAGCAAATTTTCATTCAAGTCTTGTGGGTAGTGAGAATAGTTTGAATAGTGCGCCATAGTTCGAACAAGTTGTCTGTCTGTCTCTCTCTGTCTGTCTGTCATCTATCTTAACAGCAACAACAACAACAGCAACAGTAACAACCCAGCAAAAGCTTTATAACCATCGGCTTTTCACCCTATCATCGAGTATTTGGTAAGCGTGGGATACTGTCAGCAATCTCTTCTTCACTTTCTGATCCGCTTCCTTCCATGCTTTCAATAATCTGGAGCAAAAAAAATAACTTGGCATAATCATATGTATTTTAGCTGGATTTGTGGGCCCTAAAAAGAAACCACACTCTAGCAGGCTGGGTCGTGTCAAAACTTCTCGTCCATTCCGTTCTCGCTTTCACGGTATTGCATGCTCTGACATGGTTCCAACGTCAGAACATAACCTGGCCGACCCTCAATGGGGCAAAGGTTCCTCCCAAGTCACATAGTGTAGTAGGGATGGCGTGGAGGCGACCTACCGTGTTACTGCTTCACGTCTGCCTATCTGACGGTATGATAGCTTTACGAGTGTCTTGTGGATCTGAAAGTAGTATACGCAATACATGAGATAGAGAGGAACATCAAAAAGCTATTTGGATGAGAATATAATAGTCAGCGCATACGATTTTCTTGGAAGCGTTTCGAACTCACTTTATCAAAACAATCATCAACGATGTACTTATCCCGTGAAGGCAACTTTTTGTTCCAATCCAGATAATGTTTCATAATCGTTTTGTCAGGATTAATTAATAGCTGAACACAGATTACATAAAAAACAGGGACGCTTGGTTCATCCTTACGACGACATCGACGTAACCGGCTACAGCTTTCGAAGACTGAATAAGTATTGATCCGACATAACCGATGTTTTCGGCGACTACGTTGAAAAGAGTAGATACGTATCGATACGACGTATACCCGAAATCCCTGAGATCGGGTAGGCGTGGCTGCGTACTTGATTTTTAAATGGCGGCGGCCCAGGTTTTCGTGAAATATTTTCATTTTGGAGCAGTCGTAATCATGTCTACACCTAACACAGAACAGGATAGCAAACCGTACTATACCACGCTGAAAGCCACGCCTACTCCGTCTCAGGGATAAGGAGCGTAATCGTGATGCCGACGTAATGGGCGACTAAAGACTATATACGTATCGATCCACGTGCCAGCGCAACCGACGACAGAAGATTAGATATGTATCGATTGACGTCGAAAACGACGCCTACGTCACTTACGTCGGTTACGCCGGGTCGATACGTATCTACTCTTCGAACGCCAGTTACGTTGCTTACGCGATACGTTGCGTCGGTCAAGTCGACGTCGTCGTTAGGTATGAAGCAGCCTATGCATATAATAGTAAACAGTTCTTTGGATGATACATCGGCAAGGTGGGACCTAAATACGTTCGGAGGGTACTGGATTGCTAAGGCCGTGATCACACTCCGCGACTTAAGCGATTCATTGGCGCAACTGCTAGCGCCCTGCTCCATGGCTAATCTTTGGACTGCCGTATGGTACGAAGGAAATTCTTTCCTTATTGCTCGGCTCAGCGATCAGTCTACGTACATGGCTTGCAACGACGTTGCCGACGTCGACGGAACCGACGTAATGGGCGGCTGTGTTGCGTAGATGAGATACGTATCGATCCGACGTAATCGACGTAACCGGGTATCGACTGACGTCGAAAACGTCGGATCAATACGTATTTCAACTCCGCGAATTGCTCGCTGAAAACGTCGGTTACGTCGGAAACGTCGGTTACGTCAACA